TCTTGAATGAGGGGGGCCTTATTTACCACGGACCTGGCATTACACAGCATCAGTCGGTGATCCCGGGGCCGGGGATCTAAGATCCCTGGGGGTCGAGTTGAGTCCTGAGGACCGGAGCACCCACAAGCTTGTAAGCAGCGTGTGCGTGCTCCCAAAACCCGATATGGTCCTCTGCTCCTGCCATATCTGCCCCTCCCACTGACCGTACCTATCACAACACCCTCCCCTGGTCCCCTGGTTAATTGTTCTCACTGTCAGGAAGTTTCTCCATAGTTCTAGGTTGCTTCTCTTTGCTCACCTCCCGTCGTCCTGCCCGCTGTGACTTCTAAAAGGACACCGTTTTCGTCATATTTGTCCCTTGGCGTTATCTTCTCGCAGAGCTGAAGACAGAAAAACAAAAATCGGTTGACAAATAAGCTTACAGCTCCATTCCGACGGTGTTTGTAACTTCCGTTTCGGATCTTAAGAGGTCCCTTCATAGTTACAGGGGGTCCTCGGCTTACGACCGCAACCCAGCCCAAAATTTCTGTGACTAAAATGAGATATGGGTTGCATTTGCCCCATTTTAGGACCTTCCTGTCAAGTGAATCGCGGCAGTTGATAAGTGGGTAACACGGTTGTTAAGTGAATCCGGCTTCCCCCACTGACTTGGCTTGTCAGAAGGTGGCAGAAGGGGATCACGTGACCTTGGGACACGGCAACGGTCATAAGTACCAACCAGTTGCCAAGCCTCTGGATTTTGATCGCGTGACCAAGTGAGGATGCTGCAAAGGTCGTTAAGTCTGAAAAATGGTCATTGTACGTGCTCCATCACTGGGGGTTTTTAAGAAGAGATTGAACAAGCATTTGTCTGAAATGGTGCAGGGTTTCCTGCCTGAGCAGGGGGTTGGACTAGAAGACCTCCAAGGTCCCTTCCAAATCTTCTATTCTATTCTGTTCTGTTCTGTTCTGTTCTATTCTGCATTCTATTTCTATTCTATTCTATTCATATTCTATTCATATTCTGTTTCTATTCTATTCTATTCTGCATTCTATTTCTATTCTGCATTCTATTCTATTCATATTCTATTCATATTGTTTCTATTCTATTCTATTCTATTCTATTCTATTCTATTCTATTCTATTCTATATTTTCTATTCTATTCTATTCTATTCTATTCTATTCTATTCTATTCTATTCTACTCTACTCTACTCTACTCTACTCTACTCTACTCTACTCTATTCTATATTCTATTTCTATTTCTATTCTGTTCTGTTCTATTCATATTCTATTCATATTCTGTTTCTGTTCTATTCTATTCTGCATTCTATTTCTATTCTGCATTCTATTTCTATTCATATTCTATTCATATTCTGTTTCTATTCTGTTCTATTCTGCATTCTATTCAGTACTAGCTATACCCGGCCACGCGTTGCTGTGGCTCAGTCTCAATGCACCATTGTGCATTCATCCCAAACAATAAGTTTGCATTTCTGCAATACTTTTCTCGTGCCGGATGCTTTGGAAATGTTGCACGTGGGAGTTTCAATGAATTGCATGTTCAATGGCAATTTCAAAGCGTCCAACAGATGGCGCTGTTTTTTTAAAAAAACATGTTTTTACCTGTCACAGGTGTGACATCTATATAATAGTAGGTATATAAAAACATGCGCGTATTCGAATGTAACGTTGTGTCAAAATTTCAAAGCAATCGGTGAAGAACTTTCGGAGCGTTAAGCTTTTGAACAAACGAACATGTACATTTTTATTTATATAGATTCTATTCTGTATTCTATTCTATTCTGTATTCTATTCTATTCTGCATTCTATTTCTATTCTATTCATATTCTGTTTCTGTTCTATTCTATTCTGCATTCTATTTCTATTCTGCATTCTGTTTCTATTCATATTCTGTTTCTATTCTGTTCTATTCTATTCTGCATTCTATTCTGTATTCTATTCTATTCTGTATTCTATTCTGTATTCTATTCTATTCTATTCTATTCTATAGAATATTCTGTTATCCGTTTTTTTTTTCCTTTTTGGGAAAGTGCATAAGTTCCCATGAGCAGTTTCAGCTACACAATACTCCTGACATTGCAGACCACAACAGCTGGGCGCAGCTGGCTTCTGCTCACCTCCAGATAGAGTCCTTTAATCTTCTGGTTCGTGCTTTCCTTCTCCTCCGTAGCAAGTTCTAGCAGAGGTTTCTCCTCTGATTTAGTGAGCTCTGTAATCAAAGGGCAGAACAAAGGAAACAGAAAAGAGAGGAGTAAGTTATTACTACACGTCTGAAACTCAAGAGATGGGGGAACGGTTCCCTTAGATGTAGTGGAGGCAAAGAAATTGTGGGGCTTCCCCAAAATGAATGCCAAAAAAAAAAAAAAAGTTCTATACAGGCTGTCCTCAACTTACAACAATTCATTTAGTGACCAAGGTTACAACAGCACTGGAAAAAGTGACTTACGACCGTTTTGCACAGTTACGATCTTGGAAGCATCCCCGTGGTCACGTGATCAAAATTCAGAGGTTTGGCAACTGGCATGTACTTACGACGGTTGCAGTGTCCCGGGGGGGTCACGTGGATCCCCTTTTTTGACTTTCTGACAGGCAAAGTCAACAGGGGAAGCCGGATCCAACAACCGTGCTGCTTAATTTAATAACTGCCATCGTAAAAGCTCACTTAACAAATGTCTCGCTTAACGACAGACGTTTGGGACTCCATTGCGGTCGTAAGCTGAGGACTACCTGCACACTGTACCTGTACACATTTTTTCCAGTTCCTGAATTTGTTTTTCAGCCTCTTGAATTTCTTGAAATGTCTCCACAAAGGGGGACAACTCAGCCCGCCGTTGACCGAGGTCCCGCCTCTTAAATTCGTTAACGGCGCAGGTGCTCAGCAACGCATCGATCCGTTCGTATTCCCGCTTCAACGTCTGCAAATACTCCTGCAAGGGGCCGCGGTCCCAAAGCATCCCCAAGGCCCTGGGGCTGGCGTGGAAGGTCCTCGCAGGTGCGACAGCCCCCCACCATCCGCAGCCGTGCCGAAGGATTTTCAGCTCCACCCAAAGAGCCCTTTTTTTAGCAAGGGATGGGAGAGGGTCCCTCCGGGGGGGCTTGTGGCATTTGTGAAACAGGAATCTGAAAACAGGACTTGCTGGGTGAGGCTTCATCCTCGGGTTGAACCTTCTGGAATACACAAATAAAACCGTAGCAATTTTTTTTTTTTGGTCTTTCTTTCAACAGTGTTTATCTGTCTGTCTGTCTGTTTATCTAACTACCTAGTCTGTCTGTCTACCTGCCTGCCTGCTTGTCTCTGTCTGCCTGCCTACTACCTACCTGTCTGTCTATCATCTAACTGTCTATCCAGCTATCTTTCAGCTATCTATCTATCCATCCATCAATCAATCAATCATCTATTTATCTATCATTCGTCTATCTGTCTATTTCCAATTTTATCTATCTAATCTATATCTATTTATCTATCTATATCTTATCTATCTATATCTTATCTACCTATCTATATCTTATCTATCTATATCTTATCTACCTATCTATATCTTATCTATCTATATCTTATCTACCTATCTATATCTTATCTATGTATATCATATCTATCTAAATCTTATCTATCTATATCTTATTTATCTATATCTTATCTACCTATCTATATCTTATCTATCTATATCTTATCTATCTATCTTATCTATCTATATCTTATTTATCTATATCTTATCTATATCTGTCTATTTCCAATTTTATCTATCTAATCTATATCTATCTATCTATCTATCTCTTATCTATCTATATCTTATCTTATCTTATCTTATCTTATCTTATCTTTCTGTCTGTCTATCTATCTATCTATCTATCATCTATCTTCCATGCCTCTCTCTCCTCTCTCCTCTCCTCTCTCCTTCCCATCCATCTATCTATATCTATATCTATATCTATCTATCTATCTATCTATCTATCTATCTATCTATCTATCTATCTATCTATCCGAAATTACTTTAAAAATGTGATCCCCGGGTATATCCATGTTCAAAGTCAGTCAATAGACGTGAGCACCAGGGAATAAATAATTTAATAATAATAATTTCTATCTATCTATCTATCATCTATCTTCCATGCCTCTCTCTCCTCTCTCCTCTCTTCTCTCTCCTCTCCTCTCTCCTTCCCATCCATCTATCTATCTATCTATCTATCTATCTATCTATCTATCTATCTATCTATCTATCTATCTATCTATCTATCTATCTCCCATCTTACTATTTTTATAGACAACCCAAGGTGTCAAACATATCCAACACACTTCCCTCCTGTTATATTCCCCAAAACAGCAACCCTGTGAGGTGGGAAGGGCTGAGAATGAATAACTGGTCCAAAGTCACCCAACTGGTTTTCACGGCTAAGGTGGGACTAGAATTCCCAGTCTCCTGGCGATTGGCCCAATGTCATCCAGTGAACTTTCCTAAGGTGGGACTAGAATTCCCAGTCTCCTGGTGATTGGCCGAAGGTCACCCAGTCAACTTTCCTGCCTAAGGCAGAACTAGAACTCATGGCCTCTCGCTTTCTAGCTTTCAAGGAATTCTTGGGGTAGTAAATGAGACTAATATTATGAAATTGGAAGCCAGCGGAAGCCAGGCTAGGAAAACCTGTGCTTCTTCAACATCTGAAACACAGTTGCAAGAGGATTTGCAATACAAATAACAAATCAATACCATCATTTTCTCTTAGGTAATTTTTAAATTTCAAATAAAACACCAGAAGTTACATCTGAGGTGCTTGGTGATTTTCTTGCAGACGTTTCATTACCAAACTAGCTATAATCATCAGTGCATCATTTGACGTTACATAGTGCGATTTTGTGACATATGAATTAAACGAACAAAAATGAGCAGCATAACTCAATCTTAGGCATGCCATTAAGAAACGAACCCCTCTTTTCATTCCCCAGATTATTTTCAAATAGCCTAAAATAGTTGCCAGCACTCAAGACTGACAACTGCTTCCGACAACTGCTCCAGCCGAGCCAGGATCAAACCAAACAAACTGAAGAAAAGTTGCAAAACACTAGAGCCGCGTTTTCAAAGCAGGAAACTTTCAGAGCCCCCCTTAAAAAGCTGATTGCAAAGCGAGGTTATTTCTTCCTAAATTTATTCCTGGCAAAGATACGACTTTTGTTCCTGGCTTGCTAGATCCACCACCGTTCTGGTCCAAAAGCTGCAGAAAACAAACGCTTTTTTTCTGCCAATCTGTTTGCAAGCCACATGCAAATCCAGACAAACGGGCCCTGTATTGCAACTTTCATTTTTGCAAATAAAATAAAATAAAATAAAATAAAATAATTTCTATCTCTCACCTTGAAGGAAAACAGGTCCCCCACGGGAGCTGATGCCTGCTTGAATAAGGAAGCTGCGGAAGACCGAGCAAGGAAGTGGGAGAAAAACCACATTTCCCAGCAGCCCTCTGGTTTTGAACTACCACTCCCACAATGCTTAGCGGGAGATGCTCCAGTTAACCTCTACCGTGCCGCAACCTTATAAAACCCCGTAAGGCTTGCAAAAACAAGTGTGATTTAAAAACGTGGAGAGAATTTTCCCACGTTACTTTCTTTTGGGCCACAGCATTTTGCAATTTAGCTTTTTCCTCCTCTTTTAAATCTCCCTCCCTGTCTTTTCCACTCTTCTCAATTTTTTCCCCCCCCCAAAGGACTTGTTTTGGAGTGGTGGTAAATATGGGCTTTTTTTAAAAAAAAAAAGTGGCAGATTTAAGACGGCTGGACTTCGTTCAGCACTGGAGAATTCTGAGAGATGAAGTCCACCTGTCTGAAAGTGGCCAAGTTTTGAAAACACTGGTGTGTTTTTGTATTTCTTTTTAGAATGTTATAATGATGATGAGAATAGACGACTAGACTAGACTAGAATAATGAATAGAATAGAATAGTGAATAGAATAGAATAGAATAGTGAATAGAATAGAATAGTGAATAGAATAGAATAGAATAGTGAATAGAATAGAATAGAATAGAATAGTGAATAGAATAGAATAGTGAATAGAATAGAATAGTGAATAGAATAGAGAATAGAATAGAATAGAATAGAATAGAATAGAGAATAGAATAGAATAGAGAATAAAATAGAGAATAGAGAATAGAAATAGAGAATAGAATAGAATAGAAATAAAGAATAGAATAGAATAGAAATAGAGAATAGAATAGAAACAGAGAATAGAATAGAAAGAGGTAGAAAACGTGATGCTTATTCCTGTCACCGAACACATCTCTGAAAAAGCAAGCCTCAATAGAAATGTCAAAAAAATAAAATAAAATAAAAATAGCAACGTAAGATCTTCAGATCATTAAGCGTTAGTCCCCCTTCTGATCTGCTGGTTGCAAAGATTTTTGCCATGCTGATCAGACAAAAGATAAAGAACAGGACAGTCTGACTTGGATATTTTGTAGAAGAGACATGCTTTTCTCACTGGTGCGTTCAGTCCCTTCTTTGTCTCTAAATGGACATCATTTTACCAGCATTGTAGGCTAATAGCCCCATCTTTCAGTTCTTCTATAAACTCTATAGGTTCTCCTGCCTGAAGACCTAGAAGTGCATGTACATCACATGGACATTAAAATTAGGAGATAATTTGTGCAAGGTGTGTCAGTTAATATAATGGTATAGGTTCTCCTGCTCGAGCAGGGGGCTGGACTAGAAGATCTCCAAGGTCCCTTCCAGCTCCTATTCTATTCTATTCTATTCTATTCTATTCTATTCTATTCTATTTCACTCCACTCCACTGCATTCCATATTTTCTATTCTATTCTATTCTATTCTATTCTATTCTATTCTATTCTATTCTATTCTATTCTATTTCACTCCACTCCACTGCATTCCATATTTTCTATTCTATTCTATTCTATTCTATTCTATTCTATTCTATTCCCTATTCTAGGGACCTTGGAGGTTTTCTAGTCCAACCCTCAGCTCAGAGAGCACTAGAGATGTTCCAGGCCATTAGGAAGAAGTGTGTAACTCACACTTAAGAGAATAAGTTGGAAGGGACCTTGGAGGTCATCTAGTCCAGCCCCCTGCTCAGGCAGGAAACCCTATACCATTTCAGACAAATGGTTGTCCAGTCTCTTCTTAAAAACTTCCAGTGTTGGAGCATTCACCGCTTCTGGAGGCAGGTTGTTCCACTGGTTAATTGTTCTGTCAGGAAGTTTCTCCTTAGTTCCAGGTTGCTTCTCTCCTTGGTCAGTTTCCATCCGTTGCTTCTTGTCCTGCCTTCAGGCGCTCTGGGCTGGACTAGAAGACCTCCAAGGTCCCTTCCAGCTGTTCTCCTGTTAAAGGGTGTGATTAATTTAGAAGTTGTGGGTGCTCCAACACGGGAAGTTTTTTAAGAAGAGAGCGGATAAACCCCTTGTCTGGAATGGCATAGAGGGTCTCCTGCTCGAGCAGGGGGCTGGACTAGAAGACCTCCAAGGCCCCTTCCAACTCTTGTTCTTCTGCATAGCTTCCCTCCAGAAGTTGTGGGCGCTCCATCGCTGGAGGTTTTTAAGAAGAGAGCGGATAAACCCCTTGTCTGGAATGGCATACAGGGTCTCCTGCTCGAGCAGGGGGCTGGACTAGAAGACCTCCAAGGCCCCTTCCAACTCTTGTTCTTCTGCATAGCTTCCCTCCAGAAGTTGCGGGCGCTCCAACACGGGAAGTTTTTTAAGAAGAGAGCGGATAAACCCCTTGTCTGGCATGGCATACAGGGTCTCCTGCCGGAGCAGAGGGCTGGACTAGAAGACCTCCAAGGCCCCTTCCAACTCTTGTTCTTCTGCATAGCTTCCCTCCAGAAGTTGTGGGCGCTCCATCACTGGAGGTTTTTAAGAAGAGAGCGGATAAACCCCTTGTCTGGAATGGCATGCAGGGTCTCCTGCTCGAGCCAAGGGGGCTGGACTAGAAGACCTCCAAGGCCCCTTCCAGCTGTTCTCCTGTTAAAGGGTGTGATTAATTTAGAAGTTTTGGGTGTGCTCCAACACGGGAAGTTTTTTAAGAAGAGAGCGGATAAACCCCTTGTCTGGAATGGCGTAGAGGGTCTCCTGCCCGAGCCAAGGGGGCTGGACTAGAAGACCTCCAAGGCCCCTTCCAACTCTGTTCTTCTGCATAGCTTCCCTCCAGAAGTTGCGGGCGCTCCATCGCGGGAGGTTTTTAAGAAGAGAGCGGATAAACCCCTTATCTGGAATGGCGTATAGGGTCTCCTGCCCGAGCCAAGGGGGCTGGACTAGAAGACCTCCAAGGTCCCTTCCAGCTGTTCTCCTGTTAAAGGGTGTGATTAATTTAGAAGTTTTGGGGGCTCCAACACGGGAAGTTTTTTAAGAAGAGAGCGGATAAACCCCTCGTCTGGCATGGCATACAGGGTCTCCTGCCGGAGCAGAGGGCTGGACTAGAAGACCTCCAAGGCCCCTTCCAACTCTTGTTCTTCTGCATAGCTTCCCTCCAGAAGTTGTGGGCGCTCCATCACTGGAGGTTTTTAAGAAGAGAGCGGATAAACCCCTCGTCTGGAATGGCATGCAGGGTCTCCTGCCCGAGCCAAGGGGGCTGGACTAGAAGACCTCCAAGGCCCCTTCCAGCTGTTCTCCTGTTAAAGGGTGTGATTAATTTAGAAGTTTTGGGTGCTCCAACACGGGAAGTTTTTTAAGAAGAGAGCGGATAAACCCCTCGTCTGGAATGGCACATAGGGTCTCCTGCTCGAGCCAAGGGGGCTGGACTAGAAGACCTCCAAGGCCCCTTCCAGCTCCGTCCCGAGGCTGAAGTCCGGAGCGTTGCATGCAACTCTTCCGCCGGCTTCTCCCCCTCTACTCCTCCTCGGAGCCTTGCAGAGCGGGAGCGCGCGCAGGGCCTCCGGGAGCGCGCGGGGGCGTCCTGGTGCGCGAGCGCCGAGCCGAGCCGAGCCGAGCCGGGCTGGCGGGGCCCAGCGGGCGAAGCCCCGGACGGCGCTCCTGGGCCGGAGAAGAGGAGGAAAAGGAGGAAGAGGAGGAGGCCGCCTGGGCTCGCCATGCCGTCGGCGCCGCTGCCGCCCAAGGAGAGCAACCTCTTCAAGCGGATCCTGGTGAGCCAGCCAGGCCCGGGACGACCCCCCCCATCCCCCCCAGCCGCGGGGAGGGG